ATAAATGGAATCTGCCAAAACTTCACCAGGCCTAGGGTTTCCCCTGAACACCACTGGCCAGGCCTCCCCTGCTGGCTTCCTCATCTGGGCTGGCCTCTCCCCCATCCTCCCGTGGTCCCCGCGGGTGTGTGAAGTGGGGGACAGCAACGCTGACCTCCCTGCTCTTCCCAAACGTGACCGTCCCTCCTCGGCTTCCTGAACTCGCTCCATCTTCCCTTGAGTTTTGGAAGCCTGCAGACAGCGTCCCTTTCCCCAGCTCAGAGTTCTCCCTGTCTTTCCAGGTCCAGGTTAAACACCGGCCCAGAGAGCAGTGGCCTGTGTTCTGTGCTCCGAGTTTGCAAGGCACCTGTGTAAAGATCACACTGATGTGCATCCAGTGCATTTCTGCACGATAGACCCTTATAACTGCAGAAAGAACTCAGCACGGGTCCTATCCAGCTTGGGAGTGCAGGTTTGAAAGGCCTTGACATCTCCAGGTGATCCATCCAGAGGAATGAGCAAATGCAGGCTCCCCAGGGCCTGGCGGGGCGGGGTGGGGGGCACTGGCTGCTGGACAAAGCCACGGGTCAAGGCTCTGTGGTGGTCACAGAGGATGGGAGTCTGTGAGGCCGACGTCTGGAATTAAGTCGTTGTGAGAGCAGCTAGATTGTGGGTGGTCAACAGTCAGGAACAAAGAGGAGCAGACTTCTAACCTGACAGAAATAGCAGCTGATAACTGATGAATGATGTCAACTTTGATTTCCTGGGAGATATTGTCCTTTTCATGTGTTGTTTATTGTTTGCCCCCAGAATGCACACCTGAAGACATGTTAAAGGGGATGTTTTTAGAATATTCGGAACAATTTGAACTGAATGCGTTCTATTTTTGAATCCCTACATCTTTCTGCAACCGGAAAAAGCTCTCATGTCAACCAGCAGGAGCCTTCCAGATTCAACAAGCAAAGCAGCCGCTTTTTACGCAAATTGTTTTTTTATAGATCTCAGCTTACTAGTTCTGTGGACGATGAGAACTGTGGTCCACACCAGGGTCAAAGCACCTTGTCGCAGGCAGAAAAGACCTACACGTCCCACTTCCGTCTCCACCTGTGGGGCAGGACAGTGATTGGAACTGTTTCTCAATTTGTGGGGACAAGTCACACTGACCTGGGTGCATCCTGTCACTCTACTCAGCTCTGTATGTGAGACACTGTCCCTGCCCTGTACCTGAGGCACTGGCCAGATTATACTGTTTATCAAACCCAAACCCTTGGCATTGATAACCCAAGGAACCCCCTGAGCCCCTCCTTTCATTAGTGGGGCTTCTCATTCAAGCAGAATAGAGGGACCATTACCCACCCTGGATGGCAGCCGGCTCTGAAATCACATGCAATCTTCCAGGGCTTAGCCCAGCATGCAGCCTCAAGAACTCAATGTTAGATGAAGGGATGATGTCACTGCAGGGAAGGAACCCCAAACCGGGCTGGCAGAATGGTGGCCCTTGTGAAGCCGTGGGGGTCGGGGAGCGAGAGGGACAGCAAAACCGTGAAAATGGCCATGAGAGAGAAAAAACGAAAACTTGCTATTCAAGATGCATTTGCAATCTAGAATCCTGAGCCCACAGTAGAAACAAAGACTAACCAAGAGAACCAGCCATAAAGTGTTTTTTCCTGACAGATGAAGTAGGACAACATGCAGGAATGGCTATAATATAAATATGCTTATATCTCTGGAGAGAGAAAGGAAGGACAGGTCTGCACTAAACTAAATAATTATGAACGAAAGCACTAGGAACACAGGTACATAAAAGATAACCACTTTGAAATAGGAGAAATAGCAAATACAGCCGTTGGAATTTTAAAAAGCTCTTGAAGGATAAGATAAACCTTATCTTGCCCTTTCTGTCTTTGAAAGAAAGAAAATGGGGTAAATCAGAAGAGAAAACTGGGTGATCCCTGCCTAGGACAGAGTTCAGAGAAGATATTGCTTGCAGTTAAAAAATCCACTGCACCGTTTCCACATTGTAGGAAGAACTGAATAATAGAATAAGCCAAAATCAACCTCGTCATACTGGGTTGAAACCAAAGAACATCAAACGTGAAAAGAAAATTGTAAAAGCTAACAGAGAAGACAGACCCACAAAGGGCTGATCATTTGGTGGCAGATTTCTCATTAGAAGCAGCAGATAATGAAATAATGACAGTCTGAAAATCACAACTCCCAGCCCAGGATTCTGGGTAGGAGCATAACCAGAAGGGAACCATTGAGTCAGAGAAAAGACAACACATCAAGAAAAGACAGGAGAAACTGGTGGCTGCCATACACACACTAGAGGAAGAAATTAATCTTGGAAAGCAGTGAGAAGACAAGGAGAAAGACGGCAGAACCGGGGAGGAGTCTGAATTCTTTAAAGCACAACAGTGATGCCCCTGGCCCCCAACAGAACAGTATACATACGACAGAGCTTCCTTACATACCCACTCCTCCGTGTTGACATTGACCGGGTAATTGGACGCCCCACCTGTTGTAAAGGCATTATAGTAAGCAAATTCACATGCAAATGAGCCAGCAATAGTTAGGAGTTAGCTCCACTCTGGAGAAGGTCTAGAGTGAAAACTGGAAGAATTTTATAGCCTAGACTCAGAATGGAAACAGAAAGAAATGACATGATTTATGTCACAAAGAGGTTAATTTGATTTCCAGTGTTTGCAAAAGGCAGACTTGCTTACCTGCTCCATGACTGGAAGAAACTCTCAGGGCTCAAGCCTTGGAAAATCCTCCTCCCTCTCTGGGAGCTCTGTGCAGGATTTCTTTCCCAGGGACCGGGATCACCCAGAAATGCAGCACAAAGTGTCGACCCTGTACCCAGCTAAAATATCACTCAGTAATGCAGGTGAAGCACAGATGTTTCCCAACGTACAAAGGCAAAGTGGTTTACCATTGAAAAACCTTTCCTTCAAATGTGGTGGGTAGAATGTAAAAAATACTAGAAAGCAAAGTATTTGTAAACCTGTTTATAAAATCTAATTAGCTCATTACAGTTAAGAAACTAACATTTTGTTTGTTTTAATGAAAAGGTAAAATTAAAATACTCTACAATAACAAGGAACAGGAGATTTAGAAAGTAGCAAAAGCACTGAACATTCCTTGTTTTGTTCAGGGGTTCATAGTGTGGGGTTGGTTTGTTTGTGAACTTAAGAACAATTCTTATTGCATGGTGATTTTTTTTAAAAAAAGGTGTTATAGTGAATAAACTTTTTCAACTTTATTTTTCCATAATCATATGTTGGTAAATGGGGAAGTAGCTAGAAGAGTAGAAAGAGCATTGGGGTCTATGTTATTAATTAATGTGATGGGATCTATTACAGCATGTTCTTGTGCTCAAAATGAGATATGATTGCACTTAATTTTTTAGAGGTAAAAGAAGCAAGCTTTGAGGGGGGGGGAGGGGAAGTTTGGGGTATTTGGGGAGCAAGAAGAATAAGTTGTCTCAGAGAGAGAGTAAAAGTTGATGAAGGGTTGCTAGCAGCCTGGCCAGGCAAGCGGTGTCCCCCTGATCCTGGAGAAGGTACAGGTAGAGGATGGCTGAATGTCACGGCTGTGTGTTTTGTGTGCTTGGGTCCTGTTGCAGAATGAGCAGATTGTTTGACCAAAGCTGGGGGTTTCAAGGACAAGTATCCCACAGGGAGAAAGGGGCAAGAACATTGAGATTATCTACAAGGGGGTGCTTACTATGGGGATCAGAAAGGAGGGAAGTGCATATATATGATCTGGAAAATGGAGGCATGACAGCGAATGGCTTAGAAGGCTCCTTGGAGTAAGACATTTTACAGTTGCTGAACTAGAGGAAGTGGCTTGGAACGCCAACGGTTTATGTTAAGAGAATAAGAAGCTCACAGTCGAGATTTTGGAGGAAACGCTGCTGTTGCTAAGGATCAGGTCTAGAATTTAACGGGGGCAGCAGGTTTCCGAGGTGACGTGGTAGGAAAGAGTATTGTCGGGGGAGGAGGAAAGGTGGGGACCAGGCACACGAAGCTATGGTCTGCATGAGTGCTGAAGTCACCACATCTGGTGACAGAGGGATGGACAGAAGACAGAAAGCCAAAGGCACAACTTGAAGCAATAATGGGGAACACGCTAGATAATTACATCAAGAAGAGCTGGAAGGGGCTGCAGTCTTAGCCATGGGCTTCAAAATGGGGGGTTAATGAGAAAGGAGGGGTGGTGGTCATGAAGTCATAATGAAGAACGAGAAGACACATTGTCCGCATCTAGGCCTGGGGTAAAGGGGAATGGAGAAAATGGCCACCACTTAAGATGGCCAAAGGGAAAGCAGCGTCCTTAACGAAGAAGCTGGTTTCAGTTGGACTAAAGTACAAGACCCACTGACAGGAGAGGTTGAGGATGTGACCCTGACCGTGGTGTCTCCAGGCACAGTTGGGAGTTTGCGGAGTTGGTGTGGCCTCCAACCACCAGAAGTTAGGACTGGGTGATGCCTGGGGTCACCAGGCTGCAGAGCACCTGGAGTGCACACCAATAACCTGTTAGGAGTAGGTGGGTCAGCATTCTGATGATGGCTTCTTTTTAGAAACCAAGCTGTATTGTGGCCAGAGGAGGGACTTGAATGAGTAAGTGGGAACTTGGGTGGAGCCCACATGGGAGGCCAAGGCATGGTTCATGGTAGCGCTTCCAGACTGGGTCCTCAGCTCCTCCATCGGAGGCCCCGAGGTCCCCAGGAACGCCGGCCCTGCTGACCGGGTGAGCAGAGATGATCTGCTCGTGCTGCAAGGCATGCCCTTTCCTGGTGTATTCTCTGTGATGTAAATTCCTCAGAATCCAGTGCCGTGTTAAATGTTAGGTCAAATGTTTGGTGTAGCAATCTTTCTTTCCACTGGGAGGCATAGCTAGCCCTGTCTTCTGTCCCCAGGTCTTTGAAGTGCATCACCAGCGTACGAGTCATGCCCAGCACAAAAGTCCCCTTTACCCCAGTGGCTCTCACTCAAGCTCTGGCCCATCACCTCCTCTCAGTCACAGCTGGGATATGACGGATGGACAGAATGAATGGGAGCCCCAGGAGAGCCCTGGCTGAGCCAATGGGCAGGCAGTATCCCAAGGCCAACAAATGGCCAATTCATGGCATGAAGAGGGGGTAGATTTCACCATGCTTCAATCATCCAAGCTGTGAGAACTTGTTTCTAGAATACTCCAGACTACTATTATACCTCAGGCCACATCTTGAACCACTGATTTGAGCTACCCTGGTGCAAGAAACAACGCATGCATATTCAGTCCCAGGAAACTGGTAAGTACAAGAATGCGACACACATGGGTCATGACTTCAAGGAGCTTCCGTAATCAAGTAGGGGACCAGTTGTCTGATCTTTGCAGTATGGCAGAGAGCGTAGGCTGGAGGCTTTGCAGCAATGTACAGAAACAGGTGCTAATGTCCAGGACTGGTTGGCCGCAGACAGGAAACCAATGTGAAGAGTCCATGGTAAAAGCCTCTTTCCCCACTTCTAGTCGAGTCAGATAACAGGGACCATCTCCAGTATTTTCTTATTTTCTCTGTGCTCACTGAGTGATGGGAAAGAGGATTTAGACCCCAAGCTCCCTGCGTCCTGCTTGCTGTAGAATGCACACCCTGACCTCCCAAACACTGCAGTATGTCCGCCAGGCTCGAGGCAGAGCTCGGGATTCTCTCAACAGGAAGCAAAGACATGCTCAGTGACTTCCTGTGCATCCTTTTGCTCATTCTCCAGAGAGACTATAAATGTTTATCAACTCAAGGGAGATGCTTAAGAGTTGCTGGACTTGCTCTTCCTACACTGACGTCTTTATCCAAAGAGACGAGAGTCACTTTTTCATTCTGAGCTCTCGTGTCCCTGCCTTACACCTTCTTGTCGAGCGCTTCACTGGATTGAGGGAGGTGTCGCTTACTTGGTTGAGATGCTGGTAATTATCTTGTGTGATGCAGAGCTAGTGATGTGTTACATTTTCTCCTCGATCTGTCAACAGCTCTCTACCTATTTTGACAAGAGCTGCAGTTGGGGGATATACGATGCACATGTACACAAAAACTTCTCTCTGTCTCTGTCTCTCCTTGCCCCCTTCTCTCTCTCTCTCTCACATACACACATGATGCACGCATGCCTCCAAACTCAGAGAGGCACGGGCATGCTCTTGATGACAGATGGTTACCCTAGAAACTCTGCAAGCCTCTGCACCAAGTGGCCAGGAAATAATTGAGAGAGGGTCAGAGAAAAGGTGTTTACTATTTGTGTCCATTAGAGTCTAGGCAGGAAAGGATTGATATTCTCAAACAGCCATTAAGGAAGGTTTCCTAAAGTGCTTTCAGCAACATGGAAGAGTGGGTGCCCTGGGTATGGCAGCTCCATCCTCAAGAGGCAGCAAGGGGGAGTAGTTGAAACCAGCAGGTACCCAGGTATCCCAGTGGGCGTGGTTGTCTGTCTGGAGCACCCTGCCTGACCGGCTCCCGGCCTTCAGGAGTGGGACACAGACAGCCTGTAACGTGCCTGGCACATGTTAAGACATGATAGATACAAGCCTGGTTGACTTGTTTGTTCACCATTTTACTCTCCTGCCAATAAATGTATTTGCTTTTTTTTTTTTTTTAAGATTTTATTTATTTATTTGAGAGAGAGAATGAGATAGAGAAAGCATGAGAGTGGGGAGGGTCAGGGGAGAAGCAGGCTCCCTGCCGAGCAGGGAGCCCGATGTGGGACTCGATCCCGGGACTCCGGGATCATGACCTGAGCCGAAGGCAGTCGCTTAACCAACTGAGCCACCCAGGCGCCCAAATGTATTTGCTTTTAAGACATGAGACATCTCACTCTGGATCAAACTAGCCAAAGCCCCAGAGGACAGTCTCGGGGGCACGATGAAGAAATGAAGAACCTTCTGGGGCACCTGGGTGGCTCAGTCAGTTAAACATCTTCCTTCTGCTCAGGTCATGGTCCCAGGGTCCTGGGATCGAGCCCCGCATCAGGCTCCCTGCTCAGCCAGGAGCCTGCTTCTCCCTCTCCCGCTGCCCCTGCTTGTGTTCCCTCTCTCGCTGTGTCTCTGTCAAATAAATAAACAAAATCTGGAGAAATAAATAAATAAAATATTGGCAACAAAATAGCTCCATTCTAAAACAAATGCACGTCGGCCTCTGAGGTGTCAGGAAGCACCCTTGTGCCCACAGGAGCCGCGCGTGGCTCTGGGCAGGTGATTCCCAGGCGTAGCTGGGACCCCCGCACCTGCTCCCGAAGGAAGGATCCTCAGACTGGAGTGTCATGCTTCTCCTTCAACAGCGGGAGCCCCGCGCCCCCGCCAAACCAGGTGGCCCCCAGCAGGGGCCCTCGTGAGCTCGGGCACTGCACCACCACCGGGTTCCCGCCTCATGGGCTCACACACCCGTGGACCACCCAGGTGCAAGGGGCAAGTGAAGGACACTGCATTACATTCTTAATTTTAGAAAAATGGAAAATTTAGAGAGAGCTTCAATTTTCATTGTTTATGAGGATCTGGAAGTTGGTAGTAAAATGTGATGAAAATATCTTCAGGATACGCTTGCCTAAAGCCCAGAGCCTTTCATTCTTGGAAGCCCTTGTGGACATTTTCTGTAGAGGAACGAAAGGCTGCCTGTCCTCTCTTGGGATTGAGTCTGGGGACCACACAGGCAGCAGAGGCCAAGAACATGGACTGTTTTTGAATCCTTCACTAGAAAGCCTGATTTCATTCGAAATTATGCTTGTTTGCTTGCTTTACGTATTCCTGTAAAGCCACGTCTGAGGGTCCCGAGCACAGCTGGAGTATGCAGTTGCTCGAGGAGACTCTCATCCACCCCCCTAGTGGATAAGGGGCTCACTCGGGCCGCTGGAGGACCGAAGACCCTCACCGCTGCCAAGGGCTGTAACATCCACATATCATTTAGCAAAATTGCATCTGTAAGAAATAAAGGGACGATATTAAGGAAATGTATAAATTAGGTGGTCCCCTCTTTTGCTGTCCAAATTTATTTCTTATCAAAATAAAAATAACCAGGGTCAGGGAAAGAGACAGGAGATGACAAATATTTGCAGATCCTAAGACAGAGGTGAATTTCTGCAAAGTTCAAAAAATATTCAAGGGGTATTTGGTTTTAGAGATGTGGTCATTTATCCAGGATTTCTATGTCATTTATCATGTGACAGTTTCCACTGGTGCAAAGGAGAATCCTCAAAGTGCTGGCCCTCACAGAGCTTCGGGTCTAGGAAGGGAGGAGAATGCATCTCTGAAGTCAGGATGAATTAAGTGGAGGTGAACGCACGAGAGCACAGATGAAGGAGATAGAAGCTCAGTGCTGAGCGGTGGGTGAGGCTTCCTGAACCTGTGGGCGTGCAGAGGCAGCATATGGAGTCCCTAGCATTTCGTGAGGCCGGGGGAAGGGGGCAGTGCCGAGAACACAGGGCAGGGGCTGGAGAAGGAAGGAGGCTGGGGGAAGGGCGCATCCTAAAGCTGTTGCCCACAGGAGCACCTGGAGTGAACCCTGCAGGGAGCCTGGATACAGGGTACGAGGGAGAGCACACACTTGCGGGGACGAGTCCTCCCAGCCGCAGGCTGCCCTGGTGTAAGCTGGAGCCCGGGCTCCCACTGGGAGGGCGGAAGAGCCGTTGGTTGGGCTCAGGAGAATCCCCACAGAAGGAAACATACGGGCCTGGCAGGGGAGGCTAGAGGAGCATCCCAAAGATGAGGCCCAAGAGATGTGGGGGCAACTGGGGTCCAAGATGCGTCTGCCACAAAGTGGGCGCGAGCAACAGGTTCTAAGCCCTGGGCTGGTGGTCTGGAGAGAGTGCACCAGGTGTGAGTATGAGTGTGGGACAGACAGAGGGACAGTTATGAAAATCCAGCTCAAGTAGGCAGTGTTGGGATCCCCGAGCTGCCGAGCAAGGAGCTGGGTCCAGGACACAGAGGCTAAGTTGAGTTTTGGACTTAGGCACCTGTGGCCAAACGGAACGGCCATGGCTAGTCAGCCACTTGGATGATGAAAATCTCCTGAAGATCAGATTTGGGCTGGAAACATCCCAGGACAGTGCAAGCTTGTACAAAGTCACAGGATCTGCGGGGCCCCTGACGGTCTGACTCTTGGTTTCGGCTCCGGTCATGATCTCAGAGTCATGGGCTCAAGCCCCAGACTGGGCTCTGCACTCAATGCGGAGTCTGCCTGCCCCGCCCCCCGCCCATGCTCCCTCTTTCTCAAATAACCAAATACATAAAATCGTCAAAGTCACAGAAGCTGAAATGAGAAAAGGCAGCCAGGGGCCTCCTGACGGCCACAGCCCCGGCTCGGTGGGCTGACTGGAGAAGAACGAGACCTAGTGCCGTGTGGTCAGTCAGCACTCGTCTGTGTCACAGAAGCACTGTGCTGACTGGGGACAAAGCCATTCCGACTGCAGGAGAGAGAGGGGCCTGAAGGGCGCTGTTTTTCCATTTGTTTTCCAGGAGACTCGTGCTGGGTTGCTAAACAACAGCTCTGCTTTGGACGGCTTTGGCGTCCTATAAATACAGATCCCCACGGGAGGGTCCGGTGTTCCCTGACTCAGCTCCAGAAAGAGCAGGTGCGTTCACTGGGTGAGTCATGCCCCTGGCGGCCGAGCCGGGACGGGGCTGCAGAGGTCCTCGTGGGACGAGAGGAGGCGAGGGAGGAGGCCCAGGCTTCCAGGGCCGCACTGACCTGAAATTTGGGGATTCTTGTTTTTCATTTCTGCTAAAATCAGTAGCACCACCCGGGCTTCGGAGGAAAACTCCTGCGTTGATGAATATGATTTTTTTCTGTTCATCTGTGGATGCACATTTAGGTCATTTCCACACCTTGGCTGTGGATTAAAAAAGAGACAGAAAGAGAGAGAGATACTTACAGTGGAATACTATTTCGCCTTAAGGAAAGAAATCTTACCAGGTGGAACAGCATTGATGGACCCAGAGGACACAGTGCTAAGTAGAACGAGGCAGACACAGAAGGACAAACGGCGCATGGTTCCCCTGCCCTGAGGGCCCTAGAGTGGTCCAGCGCAGGGAAGCAGAGCGGAAGGTGGGAGCCAGGGCTGGGGGAAGGGGAGGGGGGCGGGTGCTGTTCAAGGGAGAAAGCCTCAGTTGTGCAGGATGAACCAGTCCGGAGAGCTGCACCGGCCCCGTGCCTGTGGTCAATGGCACTCTGCTCTGCCCTTGAACGTCTGTGAGGAGGGCGGACCTCATGTTAGCTGCTTTTACCATAACATAAAACCAGTAGGTGACTATCCGATCGACCCGGAGAACTTTCTTCTTTCCTGTTGCATCCACAAGGCATTGGTGCATGGAGACATGGCTCACACCAGCCTTCCAGGTCAGAACACCCGTTTTGTCAAAAGCACCTCAGAAGCGCTGACATAAGGAAGCAACAGACAAACGTGACTATATCGAGGACACTTGAGATTTGGAATCCTTTATCAAATTATTTTTTTTCGTTAATGAGTGCCACTCATGTGGCAGGAATAAGGGCTGTGCATTCTGATTTGGGACACTGTTTTAAAGTGGATTCTGCAGTTCCCATGAGCTTTCGATCTCCTTGCACTCTGAGTAAAGTGCTACTTTTATAAAAGCTGGGGAAATTGTTCTTAATGGCTGCTAGAAGGACGGTGAAGCTGAGATAGAGGCAGCTGCAGGGCAGGAGCCGGGCTGGATGACGCACTGAAGCAGGTTTGCGGGAAGTACACAGGGGGGCTCGCACTCAGACGTCAGCCCCGCTGCTCTGCACGCCGTCCCGCCTGCCCTGCGGATCTCCGCTTCCCACGCCCTCCGCCCTGCTTTTCCCGGGGTCCCCCACACAGGCACATGGCAGGCGGGCTGTGGGACCCACTCCCCTCTCCAGGCCGGCGGCCACGGCTCTGGCCAGGAAGTGCCTGCCCAGTTGATCGCACCCTTCCAGGAACCCTGCAGAAGGAGCCACCGGAGCTGAGAGCAGCTCCTGGGGACGAAGAGGACAGGCGGTTTGCCCTGACCACGTGTTCCTGTTATAATCAGACAGCACACGGGTTTACCCCGATCAACAGAGGATGTGGGAAAGCATGATGACTCATCCTGTTTGTCCCCAGCTCTCCTTTCACTCATCACCCTACAGAGAATTTCTGGGAATACATGGACCTTAGTGAAGCTCCTAGAAAACAGGGTCAGTTCGATGGGAATATCGTTGTTATTCTTAAGTCATGTTTTTTTTTTTAAAGATTTTATTTATTTATTTATTTATTTATTTATTTATTTGAGAGAGAGAATGACAGAGAGAGAGAGAGAGCACATGAGAGAGGGGAAGGTCAGAGGGAGAAGCAGGCTCCCTGCTGAACAGGGAGCTCGATGCGGGACTCGATCCCGGGACTCCAGGATCATGACCTGAGCCAAAGGCAGTCGCTTAACCAACTGAGCCACCCAGGCGCCACCATGTTTATGATAACCTATTATTTATAGTAATCAAACCGTTAGTGAAAAGTTACCAAATAAATAGCTGGGTGACTTTCAGTGGGAGACTGTATTGTCCTGTCACTCAGGAAATATGGATCCCCCTTGCCACACCCCCACCTCCCCAGGAAGATGTACAGCCTGGCCTGACAAGCCATAGGCTGAAGGACTTACTTTTGCTTTTTGCAGTGGGAGGGGATGTAATCTGCCTGAGCAAAGACCTAGACACACTTGCTTATTTTGGCTCACTCTATATGCAACTCCTGTCTTCATGGGAACCATGTGTCCCAGTTTACAGCTCTTCCTTCAACCTGGAAAGGCGTGATAATCAGAGCTGTGCTGACCTGCAGCCTGCAGTAGAATACTGTAGCCTACCTGCAGACCCAGTGGGAAATAGTGAAATGTTGGCTGTTTTAAGTCACTGAAAAGGGGAACTGTTTGTTGCCCACAGCAAAAGCTGACTTGCCTGTTTGCTCATTGACTTACGATATCATTTCAGAGTACAAGTTTTATTCTGCTGATCTTCAGTTGGCAGTTACATCAGCTAGCTATTGCCACAATAATGCTGCATAACAACCAACCACAAATTTCAATAGCATTCAATACGTGTTGATACCTTATGCATTTGTGCATTCACTGGAGTAAACTAACGTAGGCTGGGCCTCACTGGGGTGAATTGCCTGGGGTAGCTCTGCACTGTGTGTCTGACATCCAATTCCTGGACCAGCAGGTTATCTTAGGCACCAGAACGCAACTGTGCAAGCAATCCTCAAGCTTCTTCTGTGTCACGAATGCTAACATCCTGACTCACATGACCAAGCCAGCATCAGTGGACCAGGAAGGTAAATTCCTCCTTGGTGTCACCTTGAGGTAAAGAGGAAGGACTGAATATTTCTGAAGACAATCTGATTTACTGCACTAATTAGTCCTAATATTTTACTGGGAGTAATTTTGTTGTTGTTGTTTGTTTATGTTCTGCTTTCTCTTTCCGTTTCCAGATAAAGAAACTATACTAAAAAACATGCTTCACAACCTATATACAGACTGCCTTCAGAGGATTTCTGCCATTGAGCACTTACATAACGTGACCACCTGTAACCTAATTAACTGGTCATTCTCTACATTATCTATTTAATATTGATCAAGCGTAATGGAACATATTGAACACACTTAGGGCTCTGACAAAAATCTGTTTTGTTCAATATGGTGCCATAGCCACATGGAGCTACGGAACGTTTGAAATGTGGTTCGTCCAAGTTGAAATGCTTTCATAGTATAAAACATACACTGGATTTTGAAGACATCACATAAAAATATAAAATATATCATTAACAATTTTTGTCTTGATTATATGTTCAAATAAAAACATTTTGGATATATTGAGTTAAATAAAATGCAGTACTAAAATTAACTTTACCTAGTGGTGTCAAGGAACAAGTAAGGAACTCTGAAAGCCCTCTCTTTCATAAAAGTAATGGGACCACTAGCAAATTGGTCAGAATCAAGCTTTTTCAGTACTCCAGAAATTAATTAAAGGTGTACAACAATCTAGGGAGCCACTTCAAGAAAAATGGCCACATCTTGGTAAGAACAACAAGCTTTGTAGCATTTTAACTTGCATTCTCCCATCTCTTCTCTTCCCTGCTCCACAGTGCCTTTGAACACCATCAGCATGGTTGTGGTGAAGATCAGCAGCCCAGGAGGAGGCAGAATGGAGGCCTGTTCAGGGTTCCCTGGGAGACTCCACTCACAAGCCTCTCTTTGTTTTACTGATTTAGAGCCTATTCCCACCAGTAGCCTTTTCTCCAGTGGTGTTTGTCTAAAACAATCAGAGGCAATTGTTGAGTATTGCAGTTGCCTAAGGCAGTGGGGAAAAGTTGGACAATCAATAGAATAAAATAAAAACTGGAGAATGACACATCCATAGGATGCTTTAAAAAGTTCTAAGCTATTTCTGGGGCTCTGGAAGGTCATGCACATACATATGGTTGTGTGCAGGCTCAGGAAAGTCCTTAAAACTCTGGAAGCTCTGGGGGTACCTAGGTGGTGCAGTCAGTTAGGCCTCTAACTCTTGGTTTTGGCTCAGGTCCTGGTCTCAGGGTCATGAGATCGAGTCCCTCATTGGGCTCTGTGCCCAGCATGGAGTCTGCCTAGGACTCTTCTCCCTCTCCCTTTACCCCTACCCCTAAAATAAATAAATAAATAAATAAATAAATAAATAAATAAATAAATCTTTTTAAAAAATCTGGAAGTAGGGGCGCCTGGGTGACTCAGTTAGTTAAGTATCTGTCTTTAGCTCAGGTCATGATCCCAGGGTCCTGGGATCGAGCCCCGCATCGGGCTCCCTGCCCAGTGGGGAGCCTGTTTCTCGCTCTCCCTCTGCTTCTCCTCCCTCCCCCGCTCACGCTTGCTCTTTCTCAAATAAATAAATAAAATCTTTAAAAATATTATAAAAATTTTTTAAATTAACAAATTAAAAAATCTGGAAGCTCTTACCTCTAGATGACCTTGGGACTCTAAGCCAGTAAGAAGTGCAGGTTAAGGCAGGGTTGCCAACTGCCTGGCTGAGTTTTGAAAGCATTACCCAACTTGCACACAGGGCCCCTTGGCAAAGGTTGGGAGACTTACTGCTTCCAGGCAGTTAAGGAAATCTCTGTCCAAACATTTCTTGCTCACTAAGGTAGTTGAGCAGAGACATCAGTGACCAAATAGAGGGGACATAATTAGTTCAGAAAGGTAGCTAAACAAACAACAGCCAAGTAACAGCACAACAGCAAATCCTGGGGAGAGGGGGGACTCTGATTTCCAGAGTTGCCGCATATTATTACCTAGAATGTTCAGTTTTCAGCCACCACAACAACAAAACTATAAGACAGAATAGGAAACAAGCAGATGGGGCTCACACACAGGGGGAAACGAAGTTGTTGATAGAGATGGTCCATGGGGAAGCCCGGACACAGAACTTACTAGCCAGAAACTTCAAGTCATCTGTTGTCAATGTGTAGAAAGAACTCAAGGAAACTGTGTTGAAAGAACAAAGGCAAAGTATGAGAATGCTGTCTCATCTAGCAGAGAACAACAATAAAGATAAATAATTTAAGAAGAGCCAAGTGGAAATTCTGGAATTGAAAAGTACAATACTGAAATGAAAAGCTCCCTAGGGAAGCTCAAGCACAGATTTCCAGAATCAGGATTTCCACAGGTGGGGCATGAGCCTGTCCCTTTTCCAAGCTCCCACATGAGTCTCACGTGCTCCTCTGACAGCCCCAGGTACCGCACGCTCCTCTAGGTTTCCTGGGACACTTGGAGCATTCAGAGGCCAAGAGTCCAGCCAGAATTATACACGGGCTCCCCCAGGCATTTGTCTTTTGGACAGAGCTTCACAAGTAATTCTGATGTGCGTGGCAGGATGATCCCATTGCCCAGTGGGGCCTGGAGACGGACTGAGCAGCCACTTCTGGGGAGAACTGGCTGACAAATGTTCCAAGAAGACAGAGGACATGTGTAAGAGCTTTGCTTAGGATTGAGCTCTCGAGGGAAGCGATGTTTTTCAGAGCCAAACTCAGACACGTGGGAGAGAACAGTTTGGAGGGGCACCTGCTCTGGTATAACATGTACCACTCAGTGGGGAAAGAGGGAGAGGGTCTTAAACAGCAGAAAGTTACTTTCTCTGAGTTCCAGAGGCTGGGAAGTCCGAGATCAAGGTGTGGGCAGGGCTGGTTTCTGGTGAAGCCTGTCTCCTTGGGCTGCAGACAACTGCCTTCCCACAGTGTCCACATGTGGCCTCATGTGCGCGTGGAGACAGAGATCTCTGGTGTGTCTTCTTATGTCACCAGTCCTACTGGATTAGGACCCCACTCTTAGGATCTCATTACACCCTACTTACCTCCTTAAAGGCTTTGTGTTCAAATGCAATCACCCTGGCATTAAGGCTTAAATATACAAACAGCGGAGGGCACTGTTCAGTCTAGAAACAGGAGGGCAACAAAGATTTGACCCTTGGGAACAGATACAGAGCCTTCAGAATGGAGATATGCCTTCAGGACTGCACTGTTGAAGAATCCCCAAGGCTCCCTCCCTGAGGTTCCCTCTGGTGCGAAATGATAGCGACCTGCACGGCTGTAATTAGTGCCATTAAAAGCAAAGGGGCACGAAGGGGACAATGTCTCGCCGTTACGATGAAGTCATCTAAGGGGCAAGTTTCAATTTATCTTCTCTTTGAAAGAATTCGGTATCACATTCGGAGAATTGTGAAATTTTAAAATCGTAGGGACGGAAGGAACGCAGAGGTCTTGTGATATAAAGGCGTCGTCAGACCCACCTGCTGCTTGGTCGCTCTTCACAATTCTCCTGCTCCATCTGAAAAAGGAATTGTTACCCCTCGTCCCACGCCCTGGGGCACAGCGAAGTTTGATGAAGACATACAAATTGACCAAGCAACGTACTAAAAGCAAAAGGGCAAGAAGTGTGCCTTTAATTAAACAAACTAATGAACAAACAAAAGAACTGATCAGAAATAAAGAAAATGTTTTTGAACCTATCTGCTTTTTTCCCATGTTTTTGAGTTGCTTGTATAAAAGTTTATACAAGTTATTTAGAAGTTGACTGGAATCCTCAAAAGAGAAAGGTCTAATGGTACCTGGAGAAAGTCTCAAGGAACATGGTTCTCCAACCCCAAACTTAGGCATGGTTCTGCACCCTTCGCAGCCTCACACATTGGCCCCCATGTAGATACCCGTAAACGTTATTCCCCGTTCCCTGCAGACTTCATTCAGGACGCGTATAGCAGCACGAAAATGCCTACAACGGTCTTGTTCTGCAAGTCTTCAAAGCAACATTTCCAGAAAAGAGAAGACCACAAATCGCCATCCCCAAGTTGTCGCTCTGATCCCTTCCCGGAGCTGGAGATTAGAGGATGCCGCCGTCCAGATGGTCTACAGCTTCAGGTTGCCAGTGAGGTCATCCCCAAAGCTGAAACGGGGACTTCGCTTCACGATTCCCCGTGATGGAGAAAGAAATAGCTGCCTATCAGATTTGCCATCGAGAACAAGATGGAAGACCTTGTTGAGACTATTGCAGGGCACTGATACCCCGTAGTGGTTCAAAACCCAGCGCAACTTGGCAGTAGACATAGAGCTTCAGGTCCGAGTCAGTGACAGACACCGGGGTTGGTAAGTGGCGGTCCCCGGGGCCAAATCCATCGCAGCCCGTTTGGGTGTGGCCGGTGAGCAAAGAGAGATTTTGGATTTTTAAATGAATGAACAATATTAGAGGAAGAAGACTATTTCATGACAGATGAAAAATATGTGAAATTCAAATTTCAGTGCGCTTTAATGAAATTTTCTTGGAACTCCGTGTGCAAGTGTGTTCATTCACTGTGGACTTTGTGGATCACTGGTGGCTTTTCCAGGCTACACGAGAACAGCTGGGTGCTTGTAACGGAGGTTATATGGCTATAAGGGCTATCAGAGGGCACTGGCTTGTTCTGGATTCACAATTACAGGGCTGTCCTCCTCCCGAACCCCCGTATGACCCTGGAGCTCTCCTCCAGCTGGACTCCTCACACAGGAACGCCTTCCCAAGAACCAAGGCCACTTATCTAAGGAACACATACCTCCTTTTCCTAACAGAAAGCTCGCTGGCCCTCGAATTTGAAAAATAAGCGGTCGGAGCACTGGGTGTTATACGAAAACAATGGATCGTGGGTCAGCACATCAAAAACCAATGATGTATGGTGACTAACATGACATAATAAAATTAAAAAAAAAAAAGAAAAAGAAAAAGAAGCAGCTGCCCCTGGACACAGGGATCCTATTTTAATATCTCAAGGTGGTTTCGTTCCTCGATCGACTTCTGCCGCAGCTGAACCTGTAGGTGGCAGCAGAAACTCACCGATGACACGCTTCGTGGCGTATCTGTGGGTCTGTCCGCGTGTATGTCTGGGGTGGGGGGGGTTGGTGTGTGTGTGGTATGTATGAGTGTGTCTGCATACGCATGACTCAGGTGTGTGTGAGTGTGTACGTATGGTGTGTGTGTCTGTTTACATAGTGTGTGTGTGCGTGAAGCATGCCTGCCTTAGGTGGCGAGTGCCCCAGAGAGGGGACAGCTTGGGGAGGCGTGCCCCGCTCTGTGACGCCCGCGGGAGGGGAGGAAGAGGCGGGCAGAGCCTGTCGGCCAGCACAGCGCCCAGGGACACTGTGGAGACACCCAGAACCACCTCCACCCCCACTGGCTCAAGTGTCCGCACTCGGGGCTCTGTGGGGGGCAGGTGCCGTCTTCTGAGGAGGCTTCCTGGGGGGCGGAGGGCGGTCTGCTTCTCCGCCAGCTCCTTTGCTTTCTGCCCTCAGCCCTGGCCTAGGGGCCACAGGTCCTGCCTTTGGGGCTCTTTGTCTGGATCTGCACCTTTTGCGGATGACGGCGAGCCGCGCCCCTGCAGCCGGCCCTGCTCCCTGGGCTGTGGATGGCGGAAGCTTCCATTCTTTCCAGCCCCTGTGAGGGCACCCTCAGCTCCCCACATCCTGAGCCAGCGGCCAGGTGCCATCGCTGCATTGAACTGACGGGGGAAAGCTTTGGCCCCGGTCGTTTTGCCTGGGGCATGTAATAAGAAGGTTGGGGAGGGGGATTTCTTTTAATTCAGTTCTTTCAGATTAGCAGACCCAAGAAAGCACAGAAAGGAAGGAAGCCTGTGGACACACTCCCCGAGGTGGAGCGAGGTGACCCACTGCTTACGTGGCGCTCTGAGCCCCACTTTCCCTATCTGAGAAATGGGCCACGTTGCCCCACCGCCCTCCAGCGCTGGGGGCTTGAACGAGGCAGTGTGCGCGGCCAGGCTCGGTGACCCACAGCACACACACCGTTCCTGGACGTGCCGGCGACTAGCACGGGCTAGGACAGCGTGTCCCTGCGGACGGGGCCAACTCGGCACGGCCCCACCGAGCCCCCATCCTGTCTGACTTCCGCCCCCCTTCTGCGCGCCCCCAGCAGCTCCGTGGCCACTCCGCAGGCAGCAAAGGCTCTGCCCGCCTCCGCGCCGGACTGGCGCGCTCCCTGGAGTGAACGGCATGCACCCGGCAGCGGGCAGAGCCCGTGTGAGCCCCGTGCTCTGCTGGGGACGCCAGGACTTGCCCTGGGACGGTCTCTGCCACCATCCCGCGGCCTTCATTTGTTTCGGAGCCTGGGGGATGAGTGCTGGGCCCGCTCAGCCACATCCTGGGCCGGGGCCCACCATACCCGCACGTTGCCCTTTTCCCTCGGAGCAGGCCTTCTGGAGCCGGCGTGCCTTCCCCAGCGAGAGGTGCCCGCGGCTCGGCCCCAGGGACGCGGCTTGCTCCACTCCCCACTGGACCCGGAGCCACCGTGGCTCTGAAATGGGCC